AGCAGAGCAAAGTCTCCTAGACTACCCACAGAGGTCTTTTCCCAGCCACTGGAACTTGTTTGAGGACCACATGGCAAAGGGAGGTGACCTTAAAATGAGGAGGGTGTCCTGGACCACTGGGGAGCCACAGTGAGATCCTAGGGGTCCTTCAAAGTGGAAAGAAATAAACAGAGACAAAGGAGAGAGAAAAGACTATGCCTGGATGGTGTTAGCTTTGAAGGGCGGCTCTTAGCCAAGTGTTGTAATACGAGCGCGGGGCTGCATCCCCAGCACCCCAGCCGCCTGCTAGCTTATGCCCGAAATAACAACACACAAACTGTATTCATTTAAACACTGCTTGGCCCATTTCTATCTAGCCTCTTCTAGGCTAATTCTCACATATTAATTTAACCCATTTCTAATCATCTGTGTGTAGCACCCCAAGGTGCGTTTACCGGGAAGATTCTAGCCTATGTCCATCCTAGGTCGGAGCTTCATCGCTCATGTCTGCCCGGGAGACAGGAGCATGGCGTCTCTCTCTCTCTGCCCCCGAGAGGAGAGCTGTCGAGTCTGAGCTCACTTCCTCTTCCTCCCAGCATTCTGTTCTGTTTACTCCACCCACCTATGTTTTAACCTATGAGGGCCAAGCAGTTTCTTTATTGCTTAACCAATGAAATCAACAGATTGATATATGACACTCCCACATCACTTCCCCGTTTTCTGTTTAAACAAAAAAGGAAGGCTTTAACTTTAACATAGCAAAATTACATATAACAAAACAGTTATCAAGTAAAAGTTACAGTTACAATATTTATATCTATTTTATCTTTTATCATAACAATGGAAAACTATAACTATCTATCTATTCTGCAACTCCATCAAAGACTCCAGAAGAATACAGTATTACCTAAGCAAACAAAAAGTAAGCAATTTTCAAAACTCTAGAAATGATAAGAGACATCTCGCTGCCTGTACAGTCACCCAAAGTTCCTCTATACCGTTGGGGCATCCATCTTCAGCCTTCAGGCCCATGGTATCCAGCAGACATTTCCATGAAGCAGGAAAATTCAAAGTCAGTTCAGTCACTATCTGTTGTATCCTGCAGAATGTCTTGCAGACTCCTTCATGAATCAGGAACCCCGAAAGATCATCTCACCTTTAAGCAAGTTCAGTAGTCCTCTCTCTGCGGGTTCTCTGTTTCCAGTTTATGCAATAGTCCAGGCAAGAGCAGTTTCTTGCCCAAATGGCTGTCAAACTCCATAAGGATCCTCTTTGATGCCCATCTTCTTCTTGAAGTAGATTGGTGCTGCCAGGAGCAGAGTGTCTCATTGTCATGAAAAGCCCTAAGTTATTAAAACATTTAATAGCATATTCCGTAGTCTTTGAAAGATATGAAGAATGCTGATCTAACTGAAATATATATCTATATATCTAGAAAATCTAACTAACATGACCACAAACTTGACTATTATTAATGATTATCCATTAACAACCTATATGCATTACATTTTTAAGTGAACTACACAATCACAATACCTTAATAAAGATCAGAAATACACATACTTATAACAAAATTGACCTTAAATCTCTATCAATAAAGCAAAATCTATACTAATGCAAATTATTCATATCTATATCATACCCTCCTTTAAATGTAAAAGAACACTTATAAACAATTTTTGGGAATATGGGCATAGTTATTTCTCTCCAAACTGCTTCCTGCTGAATGGGGGCGTCGTTAATTAGGTCTTTCATGGTATAACCTGTGTGCTAGTTTCATCTCAGTTGGCAGTTGAGCGAAGCAATTTTCTGAAGATGTTCACAGCAACCTTTCAGGAGGGCATGGTCCATCATACCATATCGGAATAGAAGAAATGAACAGGGTCTCATCCTCTGTGAAAACAAAATAAGAAACTCCTTTCCAAAGCATCATGTCCTTAGATCCAAATTTCAACGTCAAGGCATTTTCAAAATCTCTACGTTGGATTAGTTCAGCATCATTTATAAACAAATATCTTTTAGCAGCTGTTGCTCTTTCCTCAGCATTCAAATAATTCAAAGAGAGCATAGTAGCATACAGTATCAAAATTCTCTGTGTATTTTCCATCTTTGTGAGCTTTATTTTAGCCTCTATTTTGTTTATTTTTACTTTTATTTTTTGCTTTTTGAGACAGGTTCTTTATATCTTTGATCTGGAATAACTCTGTAGACCAGGCTGTCCTTGAACTCTCAGAGATCAGCCTGTCTCTGCCTCCCAGGCATTGGGATTAAAGGTGTACGCTACTACACCTTGAAGTTACAGAGGTCAATCTCCCTCTGCTTCCCAAGTGTTGGGATTAAAGGTGTGTACTACCACACCCAACTACTCTCTTTCATTTTTTACTTTTAAGAACTTTAATTTTTAGTCTGCATATATTTTCAACACACTGTAAACCATTTAGAAATTTTCTTTGTCTTTGAATCTCTCTTTACTGTATATCTCTCTTTTTCTGACCACATGAGTCTTTAATTTACCAAGTAATATCAGTATGACTAAAGCTGTTGCTTTGGTGGCTGGATCCAGCCCATTCCTTAGCTTTCCAGCCTCATGGCTGAGGTACTGGCTGTAGCCATGTTTACTGCCACAACTCTATGGCATTTCAAGGTCCCTGCCAGCAAGTGAGCTTCAGCAGCCTGTGCTTGCAAACCGCACGAACCGCCTGCGTAAAAGAGTCAGAGTTTGCCCTGGCAGGACAGCCCAGGAAGCTGGCATTTTTAAACGGTGCAGCTTTTTTCCTGCTACGGCTGAAAACCGAAAAGCATACGTTCAGCTTTTCGTCAACACTGTTTAAGTGTTTCGTGGCAGGACCTCTTAATGAGCTGCAGGGTTTTGCAGCTAAAGCTGAGTCAGGAAGCCTCTCTTAGATGAGAGCGCTTGCTTGCTTCTAGCAAGCAGAGTAGACCCGAGAGAGTGCTGCTACCAAAAAACCATGCACAACGCTCTCATTTTGTTCTAGAATTACTTCCCAAGCTGTCTCAGGCTTTATGTGGAAGCAGTTGCCACATGTCTGGGCGCCATTCTGTTGTAATACGAGCGGTGGGGCTGCATCCCCAGCACCTCAGCCGCCTGCTAGCTTATGCCCGAAATAACAACACACAAACTGTATTCATTTAAACACTGCTTGGCCCATTTCTATCTAGCCTCTTCTAGGCTAATTCTCACATATTAATTTAGCCCATTTCTAATATGATAGAAATATATATGGCATGTATCATATATGTGAAGAGCTAGCTGGCACTTTAATTGTATTAATCCCGCTCCTCCTCGCAGCTATGTGGGATAATGCTCATAACATTTGCATTTTGCACAAGAACAAAACTGGGTGAAGAGATATTATCACTTGCCCTAACAGACATTCCCAGAGGCAAAGATGGGTTCCACACCCAGGCAGTCTGGTTCCAAGGCCAGAATTATACTATATTACCAGATGTCACTAGAATTCCTAGTAAGGTTTCTTAAGTGTCCCCTATGTGCCAGCAGTGAGGCAGAATTCTTTATACATATACATCTTTAATCGTCATTAAAAAAAAAAGCCTATCAGATAACTGTCATCACCTCACTGACGCCTACAAAGATTGAGTAACTTGCTCCTGGCAACCGGCAGTGGAGGAAGGAAACAGCTGCCCAGGTTGTGCAGGACACACAGACTTTTCTGCCCTTGCCCACGGGCACTGTGAGCACTTAAGGAACAGATGCCCACGACCGTGGATGTGAGGGGAAGCAGATTGCTTCTCGTCTTAGAAAATACCTAGCAGGATGCCCAGAGACTGGTCCATAGATGCAGCTGCTCTAGCCTACTTCCCTGTCCAGCACCTCCTGCCTTCTGGAAAGAACACTGTTTCTTTTTTGTTGTTGGGGGTGTTGTCGTTTTCGGTTACTATCATAATGTCCCTCAAAGCAGTGACTCTAGACAACACAGACTGGGAACCTTAGAGTTCTGGAACTCAGAAGTCCAAACTGGGTCTCACTAGGCTAGCGTGGAGGTATCAACAGGGCTCTGCTCCTTCTAGAAGCCTGGTGTAGTGTCTTTGCCTGCCCTCTTTGGTATAAAGTGTCTTTCCCACCCTCTTCGGTTTCTAGCAGCTTCCCACGTTCCTTGGCTGATGTGGGAGTGCTCTGACAACTAGCAGGAATTCCACCATCATCTGTCCCCTTTAGCACAGGGTCACCCTCACTCTGGGTGGTTAATAACTAAACAAGCTTGGTGGCTTCTCGCACAATCCCCAAGACCTTTCCAGGCGGGGAGAACCGCAATAGCAACACTGTGGAGGAACATTATCACATCTTTCTTCCAATCAGGAAATAAGATGTGGTAATACTCCCTCACGCTGCTGCAAAGGACAGTGGGAAGTCCGTTATCCCAAACACACCCCCCTCGTTGGGACAGGAGTGTTCAACGTCATGTTCTCCTCTGAAGTCCTGTAGAAGTGTCTGGCTGACCTGTCGATTTCACGCTTGGTAGGGCGGTGAGAACATTAGATTAAGAAGCCCTGTGAACTTCCTGTTGAGAGAAATCCTTTCCACACTACCAAGAACTCTCACTGAAGTAGATAACCGACAGGAAATACGACAGCCTGTTGGTTTGTTGGTAAAGTAGCCTTTGATGGCAACAGCTGATTTAATCAAAACATTCTGGTGCTTCCTCCCCTCTCCCCCCATGTGAGCCCACACAGAAGATGAACCAATCCAGCTGCGAAAAAAATATTTGTTTAACTTTGCCACATGTGTTTACTCGTAGGGACTGTTTAACTCGATTGGGCGGAGCAGCTGGAAAGAGAGGAATACCCGAGGCCCTCTACGACTCTGACAACTAGCAGGAATTCCAGCAGTCTGGCGGCATTCCCTCTCAACCTGTATGTCACAGTTCCTCAAGTTCCTTGCCTTCTTCGTCCGAGTCAAAGAACTGTCCCGGTTCTGCATCAGGCTTTGGGGGCAGGAGTGTAGAACATGAATTCGAGAAAAAAAATAATGTGTGCTTGTCTAGCTGTGCAGATGATTTTAATATATTTTGCTTGTTCTACAAAGTCTATTGAAGCATTTATGTGAAGCGTTGTCTGGGCAGGGCATTGTCTGCTCTGGGTTAGGTGTCCTAGGAAAGCGACATTCCCAATTAGACACAATTCCCAGTGTCATTAAGACCCACACCAGTCACACGAATCCCCATCAAGAACAGAAGCTCCAGTGATCTGTGGTTGGGCTTTCTGGAAGCTTCTGGACAGGTTCTATATTGAGGTCGGCTCTCCAAGTTGAAAGTCTTTGAGTGAGGCAGAGGGAACAGAGGAGGGTTGACAAGATGGCTCAGTGGGTGAAAGTGCTTCCATCAAGTCTGATGATATCAGCTGGATCCCCAGAACCCACGGTGTCCTCTGAGCTCTACACGGACAACGAGGCACATGCGTGTACAGCCACGTCCGCTACAGAAATAAAGTCAGTGTCAATATTTTTCATCTTTAAGGACAGAGCAGAGACAAGCCAGAGGAGGAGGTGGCTGTAGCTGCAGCTGATCTTTTCTGAGCTGGGGAGGATTAAAAATATATGCGGTCCTCAGGCCCACGTCTGCTGATTCAACTAACGGAAGTTTGAAAGTACTCAAACCAAAACTGCACCTAACAGAACACATGGCACAAATTACATACCTTGTGGCGGACCTCTCGACTGGCGAGAAAGAACAGCCACCATATCAGGATTCCACTCAGATCACGCTTTACTTGAGTACCCTTGATGGGGAGCATGAAACGAGGGGGGCAGGAGAACAAGGGGCAGGAAGGGAAGGGCAGGGAGAACATGAAGCGAAGGGAAGAAGGGCTCTTAGGCAGCTGCTTAAATAGGGAATTGGCACACGGGTCGCCCTGTGATTGGCTGCCACCAACAGCTGACACCAGACCGCATCGGGATAGGCTCAAGGATCCTCATCCACAGAGCATGCGGGAAGACATGCAGCTCTCAAAGGCATAGCCAAATATGGAGTTGTTTATTTCCAACAAGACAGGATGTCGGCGCCATCTTGTAATGGCGATCCTGTCCGGCTCACTACAATACCTTTTCTTCTTCTTTCTTTCTTTGTCTTTCAAGACAGGGTATCGTCGTGTAGCCCTGGCTGTCCTGGAGCTCACTCTGTAGACCAGGCTGGCCTCAAACTCACAGGGATCCACCTGCCTCTGCTTCCTGGGTACTAGGATTGAAGGTGTGCACCACCACTACCCAGCAAATTATAAAGTAATTGTTTTAAAATTGTTTTTACAAGTATGCATTAATCATATGTATCATTGGTTTCATTATGACATTTTCATGCATAAAGACATAATGCCTTTTATTCATAGCCATCCTCCTGTCTCCCACCCACTCTCTTTCCTACTAGCCCTCCCTGCTTTCAATGTCTCTTTTCTTCATATGACTTCCGTTAAGGTTATGCATAGAACTGTGGGTGGGAATGACTTACAGGATGGTGTGCACCTCACCACCGACTACACCACTGAAGAAAATGTCTCTCCCTCCCTCATCAGCTCCTAACCATGTGTAGATCCTTCTAGGACCGACTGCTGACAGGTCCAATCTTGTGGAGATCTAGGGTTGATAATCACAGCCGCTGTGTGTTCAGTGGTGCAACAGGCGATTGATGTCCAAAAGTCAGCGTTGCACCTCGCTTCCCTACCAGACAACGCTTCGCGCAAATGCTTCAATAGACTTTGTAGAACAAGCAACATATATTAAAATCATTTGCACAGCTAGGCAAGCACACATTATTTTTTTTTCTCGAATTCATGTTCTACACTCCTGCCCCCAAAGCCTGATGCGAAACCGGGCCTCTTCTAGTTCCTCTACCTTCCTACCCCTTTCTTTCTACCCCTCTTCTGTGATATTTCCCAGGCCTCGGACGAGGTGATACAGATGCCCCACTTATGGCTAGACTGTCAATGGTAGTTTATTCCCACTGCTTTGACCAGTTAGGAGACTTGGGGGACACTGGACAGCTGCAAAGAGGAGTTTCTCTTTAGCTGGGCAAGTGGTGCCTAGAGCTGATGGCCTGCGTGCCCTCCTTGGAAGCCAGGTGAAGGCAGAAGGAAAGAACCAACTACTCAAAGTTGTCTTCTGTTCTCCATACATGTACTGAGGTTCCTACACACACGCACACACACACACATGCATACACACACACATATGCAAACAATATAAAATTACATGAAGAAAAGGAGCAGCAGCTCCACTGATCATAGCTGGCAGTAGAACTATCCTATAGGCATAAACAGACTTATTTAAAGGTCAGTTTGATAGGTTCATTTTAGAAATAACATTTCATGTAGCCCTAGGAGGCTTTGAATTTATCTACATAGTTGGGAATGACCTTGAACTTTTGATTCTCCTGCTTTGATGTCCTAAATGCTCAGATGGCAGGCCTGTACTTGGTTTACATAGTTCCAGCCATGGAACCAGGGCCTGCGTAGGTTGAGTTGTTGAGTGAGCATCCGTGATTCCAAAACTATTGTGGAGAGATGGGAGGCAGAAGGATTGGCTTGAAGTTCATGGACTATCTCACATGCAGCATGAGGCACATGGAAGAAATGACTATGGCCCAGGTGCTGGCGCATTACATATGCGCTGATATGTGCACATGCTCGCACACACGCACACGCACACACACACGCACACACGCACACATGCACGCACACACACACACACACACATACACACGCACACACACACACACACTTACAAATAAATAAGAAACTTCTGTTCCCTGGTTCCTAGGGAGGGATAGAGGCTGCAGATTGCAATCAATAACTAGAATAGTTTGGCATCTTAAATGCCTCCAAGACCATATGCTGACTTGATCCCAAGACTAGCATAATCAGATTGTAGAACCTTTAAGAGGTGGGGACTAGTAGAAGGAAGTTAGCTCATTCGTGATTGTGCCCTTGAAAGGGACAACACCCCAACATCTTCCCTTCCTAGTTATTTCCTGACTGTCATCAGATGAACAGTTTTCCTCTGTCCTGAAGTTACCACCACTCCCGGCGATGGAGACCACGTGACCACCGACTGGAGGCTCTGAAAATGTGACTAGCAAGCTCATTATTTCTAGTATTTTGTTACAACAGCAGAAAGCTAACACAGTGACCGATGGAGCAACTGTGTCTGCTTAGCAAAGCTGCCACCAGCACCTCAGCGACAGGGCTTAACGAGCCTCTGGGGTGAAGAGCACATTCACCCTTCAAGAGGCTAACGCATGCCAAACCCTCAGAGGCTTCTGCAAGCGCACCCCTTCCTCCGGTCCCCTCAACTGACTGTTTATTTGCATACAGTATGACCAACTGTATAGTGTTAAGTAAAAATTGCGGGTCATCGTGGACCAGGTTCCTGAACCACACTAAAGTTCAAGTTACTGAACTGAAACTAAACTGGTATCTGGCTTTCCAAGAAATCAGGTGAAAGATAACAGCTGGATTTCCCCAGAGGCAGCTTCAGCGGGCTCGACAGTGGCGCTCTTTCTGCCTTAATCCCTCTCCAAAATCGGTAACCTGAAGTGATCCAATATTAATCACATATTTTTCTATTCCTGTGTCTCTCGGCCTGATGCTTTTCCAGGAGAGCAGTCTGACATGATAAATTCACCTTCCTTCCTTCCTTCCTTCCTTCCTTCCTTCCTTTCCTTCCTTCCTTTCCTTCCTTCCTTCCTTTCTTTCTTCCTTCCTTCCTTCCTTCTTTAAACTTTTATTTATTTCAGATCTTTCAACCTACAGGAAGGATCAAGCCCCTCCGCCGAGCCTATGAAAACCCTTCTACTGAAGGAAGTGTTGCCTGATTCTAGAATCAGTTTTAGCTCAATCAGCAACTGTCCAGAATGCACAAGGCACTAGATTTGATTCTTAGCATCTCATAAAATTGGGCATGGCTGTGTAATCCCAGTGTATAGAGGTGGGGGTTGGAGGAGGATCTAGGTCCAGTCTGCTATTGTTGTTTCTGCTGAATGGTCACGTTGTCAAAACTACCTTCTAACTATTTCTGTTTATACTCATCAATGGATGTTTCTTAGTCATAGAAGCTTCTTTTTCCAGTGGGCAATGGCTACCACAGAGGCTCACAACTGGTTAGAGGACAGAGAACAAGAGACTGTGAGCACGCACGCCTGAAGGAGACACATCTATGGCCACACCTCTCACCAGGTTAAGGAAGCGTTGCAGAAGAGAGGCTGGGAAGAGTGCAGAGGCCTGAGGATGGAGAGGTGGGCTGTAAAGTGCTATGTTTTGGACATGGCATGGCCATTGCCTTTCAGAACTCAGAGCATCTGCGGTTACTTGGGCAAGATCGAGCCAGTCCAAATTCCACCAAATGGATAGGGGAGAAACTTCAGTGCTATTGGCTGTTGGTGACTGCTGAAGAAGGGAGAGTTGTTGTGGAATATTTGTTTACATTGTGTGAAGATGTGTCACTGTGATTGGTTTAATGAAGAGATGAATGGCCAATAGCTAGGCAGGAGAGAAGAGACAGGACTTCGTACACAGTACAGAGGAGAGGTAACCAAGCCATGTGACAGAATGTAGATTTAATAGAAACATGTTAATTTAAGTTTTAAGAGCTAGTCAGTAATAAGCCTAAGCTAAGGTCAAACTTCCATAATTAATAACAAATCTCTGTGTCATTATTTGGGGGCTTGTGGCCCAAGAAAGTCCAATGAGAAAGACCTACTATAGACTTCTCTCAATGGTGGACCATGACCTGGAAGTGTAACCCCAATATATCTTTTCATCCCCTAAGTTGCTTTTGGTGAGAGTGTGTTTTCCATAGCAACAGAAAGGAAAGTAGAACAGGGCATTATCAAAGGAAAGAGATGAGAAGAAAGAGGAGAAGAAGGAGGGGGAGGAAGAAGAGGAGGAGACATGGAGTTGGGAGGGGGACAGTGTGATGTATGTTATATTAGGAAATGAGCATATACTGTTTGAGCTCACTTAGAAGCTGGCTCTGAAAGTGGGCCTGTGTTGAGAAATATTTGATCACACTGTGCTGGGATTGAAGGCATGCACTACCACCACCTGGCTTTTTTTTTTTTCTTTTTTTTTTTTTTTTTTTTTTTGAGACAAGGTTTCTCTGTAGCTTTGGAATCTATCCTGAAACTAGCTTTTGTAGACCAGGCTGTCCTCAGCTACTCTGCTTTTTCTTCCCAACTTTTTATTAAACCGAATCAGAGGGACACATCTTCACAGTATATAAAAAGATCATTCTACAACACCTTTTTGCTGGGTCCCTGGCTAAGGAGGAGGGTCAGCTGGTTGCTTCTTGGCCTCTCTGAGCTGGCAGGTTTTCACCCCAGTTTTGACTCCTGAGTCTTTATTGGTAAACTAGAATAATAGAGACTTAGTTAAAAACTACCTTTGGCTGCAGAGGCAGAGGCGGTTCTGGGACACCGATGTCCCTCTGGGCTTTGCCTTGAGGAGCGAGACAGTGATTACGAAGCTGAAGCTGCAGTCAGTAACTGAAACAGCAGTAGATTCAGGTGCTCCCTAGCAGAAAACAGCTTCTGTACGGGGATGGTACCCTCTTTTTCAAACAGGAGTACTGAGAGTCTTTCCAGCCCTGTATCACCCGGTCCTAACCCTGATGTGGACTCAAGTTCATGAACATTTGCCTTCCCCGCCCTCTCTTCCCCGCCAGGTCGAGCTGCTATTCCAGGTACAACCTCAGATCAATTCTGCAAATATTATTGGAAGTCAATTTGCTGACAAGCGTCATACCAGGAAACTGGAGGAATGGTGATACCTGTTTTGTTTATCAGTATCGTTCTTGGAATGCTAATACCGCACACGTTATGGCTTCTTTGAAGTTCAGGTTCCTGATCTATACAATGATGTGGGGTTCCCCTCTGTATGCTGTGAATATGTCTTATAGAAGTTGCTTTGGCCCATCGCAGGGTGGAATAGAGCTAGGTGGGAAAACTAAACTGAAGGCAGAGAGAAAGAAGATGGAGTCAGGGAGATGCCATGTACCTGCCGAAGGAGAGGGACACCAGAACATTACTGGTAAGCCACAGCCTCCTGGTGATACACAGACTAATAGGAATGGGTTCATTTAAGATATAAGAGCTAGCTAGGAATACGCCTGAGTCATTGGCCAGGCAATGTTGTAATTAATATAGTTTTTGTGTGATTATTCAGGTCTGGGTAGCCAGGAAACAAAGCACAACCTCTGTTTACAGTACAACGTGATCTTAACAAGACCTGTGTGGAAAGATTGTGGAATGTCCGTGAGTCAAAAACCCTTAGAACAGTGTTTCTCAACCTGTGGGTCACAACCCCTGGGTCAAATGACCTTTTCGCAGGGGTCGCCCAAGACCATCAGAAAACACAGATACTTACATTATGATTCATACAAGTAGCAAAATTATGGTTATGAAGTAGCAGTGAAATAATTTTATAGTGGGGGGGTCACCAGAACATGAGGAACTCTATTAAAGGGCCACATCATTAGGAAGGTTGAGGACCACTGTCTTAGAAGAATGTGTGGCCCGCATTAAGTATCTAATCGATAATAACTAATGTTCTTTTTCAAATGGATCACTCACCGCAGTCTAAATATTTGTGTTCTCTTGCAGCTCACTATTCTCCAAGGGAGCAACTTGGAGATGATTAAGGCAGGACCCTCAAAATGAAATTCACGTCCTTGGAAAGCAGTCTGAGAGATTGAGCTTGCCCTTGGGGTTGTGTGATGTCACAATCAGGGGTTGCTACCCTTGAAGGAGAAAGAAGAAGCCCTCAGCAGATGAGGAATCTGCAGGCACATGATCTTATTTTCCCAGGGCCAGGACTGTGAGCAATGCGTCTCTGTAGTTTCTAAACGTCTCGGGGTAAAGAATTTCATTTTCCAGTCTGAATGGACTTTGACATGATTATTACTACTGCCACCAGAGTAAACGAAACACTTGTAGCCTTCAAGCTAATGGAATGCACAGGGCAGCTGGGAAAACAAGCCGTTTGAATAGCATGCTAGGTATTAACCTACGTGGACCTGCATGCAGAGGCATTGTTGGGAACGTTTGGGGCTGGGGGGCTGGACAGGAATGGGGACTGTGGTATTGGGAATGAGAATGGCCTCCAAAGGCTCATAGATTTGAATGCTTGGTTCTCTGGGGACAGTTTGGGAAGGATTAGGAGGTGTGGCCTTGTTGGAGGAAGTGTATCTCTGGGGGTGGGCTTTGAAGTTTCAAAAGCTCATACCAGGCCCAGCCCCTCTCTGTGTGTCTGCTGCCTGGGGATCAGCACCATGCCTATCCACCTGCTGCCATGCTCCCCATCCTCTGAAGCTGTAACCCCAATTAAATGTTCTCCTCTAGGGCTCGCCTTGGTCATGATGGCTCTTCATAGCAACAGAACAGTAACTAAGACAGGGAGTTAGGTTTAAGGAAAGAGTGGCTTAGATGAGACCAAGAAACGACCAATGCGATTATTAGATATGGGAGGAATTTGGAGGAGAGGGATCGTTCTGGGCAGGGGGACAAACGCTGTTTGATTTGTAGGTGACAAAGGACTGGTCCTGGAGTAGCAGAGCCGTAAAGACGAGAGGAGGACACAAGGCTGAGGCCATGCAGGTCATGAAACCAATCGCCGATTTACTCTGGTGATAGAGAAAGCATAGACTTTCTATTTGCTATTCTACTTTAAAATATCATAGTGTATGCATAGGAAGAAGGGGCTTCTTGGGTGAGTTCTGTCCAACACCTATGCGAGCTTTCTAAAATAAATAACAAAACACCTGACAGGTTCTTATCACTGTAAACGTACGCTTATTTTCTGACCCAGTGTGCCATTTCTAGGTTCTTACGCAAGAGGAGCGATCTCCACTTCATGCTTGCTTTCTGTTTTGTGTTTACAGTTGAAGGTGTGATTCCTCAGCTTCCTGCTCTGGTCTCCTGATGTCACTTCTTCTTCTCTGGCACTGGAACCCGCAAATAAAGCCTTCCTTCTTTAAGGTATGGGTGTTCGCGGTGTTTTCTCACAGCCATAGAAAAATGCATGATCCCACACGCATGATCCCAGAGCTTACCTGACTGCCTGGCCAACGTGTCCCAGGGACCCTTCTTTCTCTGGGCAGCACTCCTTGACCCAGCGCTGGGATTACACACGTATTTTCTGGTGCCTAACTTTTATGTGGGGGCTGGGATCCTTACTCAGGTTCTCATACTTGTATGGTAAGAACTGACCAACTGAGGCACTTCCCCGCTCCTTAAACCATGCTTATTCATGCAATTCTGCAGCTGGAATCAACCGAGCGCAATAAAATTAATCTAATTGACAATAAGTATGTGCCAGGGTAAAGCTTGGGAGTTGTGGCAGAGTAGAATGCATTGTAGACCATGGGATTAAAATATTATATCGAGAACGACAAGTAATTGCCTGTTGATTTTGCCTGACAAATTTGCCTCTTCTAAGAATGTGTTTTTTAATGGGAGGGAGGGAGAGAGAGAGAGAGAGAGAGAGAGAGAGAGAAAAGTGTTCAGAGGAATTTGTAATAAAAATCTTCCCAGAAAGTATTGGAAAAACCAAAGGAAAAGGCAGAAATTATGACCTTGATGTCTTGAGAGCTATTTGCAAAGATTTATTTTTAATTGTATGCATGTGTACGTGTGTGTGCACATGCGTGTGCATGCGTGTGTGTGTGTGTGTGTGTGTGTGTGTGTGTGTGTGTGTGTGTAGGAGACCAGGGAGGCCAAAAGAAGGTCTTGAATCCCCTGGAGCTGGAGCTACATGTAGTTGTGAACCATTCCCCATGAGTCCTGGGAACCAAATTCTAAAGAGATTTGTGTGTGTTTTGTGTGCTTCAGAAGAAACAAGACTTTAATGTTTATTTTAGCATTTTTGGCATACAGATACTCACATACTTCTTGTCTGGGAGTATATTAAAACAAAAGCAGAAAAGATATGACTTTTCCCTAGATAATTCTTAATAATTTCTGAGAAAGCCAGGTGTTGTGACTTCAGCCTGTAATCTCAACACTCTGGAGGCTGATGCAGGAGAATTGCTGTGAGTTCTAGGCCAACTAGAGCTACAATGTGAGCTCCTGTCTTAGAAAACAAACAGACAGACAGACAGACATGTTTTGGAGGGACTTTTAGAGATGGCTCTGTGGTTAGGAGCACTTTATGCTCTTCCAGAGGACCCAGGTTCAGTTCCCAGAACCCAATTGGTGGCATACATGCATTCATTTCTCTAGTCCCAGGCTCTGACGCCCTCCTCTGACCCCTGCAGGCATGACGCATTCGTGCTGTTTACATGCAGACGAAACACTCAAGCACATGAAATAAGCACATCTTTAACCCTTTGGACTAGCACTCACAGTTATTTGAGTGACCTATTTTAAAAGCAGTTTTCGCTCCCAACTTTTTTCCCCTGTAAAGTGTTGCCGTTGTGCACACCATGATATTGTTTCTGATCTGTTTGCAACTACAGAACTGGCTGAGTAACGTGTTTTAGCTTAGTTTTGCTTACCATTTTTTTTTTGTTTCAATTATCATCAAAGGGTGGCTACAAAAACCAGGAATATATAATGCCCCGGAGGAGAGTGATTGCAGCCATCATATAAAGGGAAGTCCATGTTTGTAAACTCTCCTCCTCCTTTTTGGTTTTGTCAGACAAGACTTCTCTGTATAGTCCTGGCTGTCCTGGCACCCTCTCAGTAGACCAGGGTGGCCTTGACCTCACAGAGATCCTCCTGCCTCTGCTTTCAAGTGCTGGGATCAAAGGCTTGCACCACCACCACCACTGCCCGCCAGGCTAAACTCTCTTTGTGGTGAGGCAGGCATAACATAACTTGACCAGGCTAAGATTTCAGAAAATGTTGATATATGATCAGTTGGCTTTCCTTTTTAGAAGGTACATGCAGCTTGTCCTGTGGTGTGTGGAGGGGACTATGGTTGGTGAGAGCTGCTTTTGGCTCTCATGTTTTTGCCTAAAGTTCGTCTCCCCCTTGATTGGTTGATCCGTGGCTGTTGTTTCTCAGAATTCCGTGACTGAGCCAGGAATGGCGTGTGTTGTTTATTGATAGACATTTATTTCGCCTGTCTGGATTACCACACCACCGCAGAAGACTTTGACCCTAGTGAATGTCTGGAAAGTCGAAAACATTTAGAAGCCTAGGGCTAATGACACCATCAACTGGGAGGTTATGGAGCAGGAGTTGGAGGTAATTCAAATGAGAAGAACACTTGTGTAGTGTGTGTGTGTGTGTGGGTGTGTGTGTGTACAAGTTTGTATGTATGCCAGTAAATAGTGTGTAAAGGCCAAAGGACAACCTCTCCTGTCATTCCTTGAACACTGTCGACCTTGCTATTTTGAGATAGGTTCTCTCACTGGCATGGAGCGCGCACCAATTAGACTAGCCTGGGTGGTCAGTGAGCCCCAAGGACCCACCTGTCTTTGCCTCCCGGCACCACAGTTGCTGCGGGTGCCACCATACCTGGCTTCTTTTCACATGGGTTCTGGGGATCCAACTCAGGTCTTTGTGCTACCAAGGCCAACACGTTACTAACTGAACTATTCCTCCAGCCTGAGGAGGAAAACTAACAGTGCATTTGGCTCACCTTTTTCTCATGATGCTAAGGAGCAAACAGAAGCTTAGAGGAAGTCCAGAGAGATGGCTCAGAGGGTAAAGACCTTGCTGTAGAAGTCTGACAAGCAGGGTTTGATCTCTGGGACCCACATAAAAGTGAAAGGAGAGAAGCCGACCCCACAAAGTGCCAACCGCATGCTGTAGTTAGGGTGCCAATTGCTGTAAAGAGACTTTTAGAAAGGAATACATTTAACTTAATTTAATGTAGTTTCAGAGGTTTAGTCCATAACCATCATGTCAGGAAACACTGAAAACAGGCAGGCAGGCAGGCAGGCAGGCACAGTGCTAGAGAAGGAGCTGAGAGTTCTACATCTTCATCCACAGGAAGTAAACTGTGACACTGTGCACAGCTTGAGCATAGGAGACCTCAAAGCCTGCCCCCACAGTGACTCACTTCCTCCAACAAGGCCACACTTGCTAATAATGGTGCCACTCCCTTTGGGGGCCAATTTCTTTCAAACCACCACACCACACAAAGGTGGAATTGAGTTCTTTGATTCCCCACACACGCATCGTTTGACTCTCCTGACCCCCATACATGCACCACGGCATGTCCACTGGTGTCACTCAGAAGAACAGCAAAAATATTAATATCCACCAAGGTTAGCCGGGCAGTGGTGGCGCACGCCTTTAATCCCAGTACTCGGGAGGCAGAGGCAGGTGGATCTCTGTGAGTTCGAGGCCAGCCTGGTCTACAAGAGCTAGTTCCAGGACAGGAACCAAAAAGCTACGGAGAAACCCTGTCTCGAAAAAAAAAAAAAAAAAAAAAAAAGATATCCACCAAGGTTCTTGATCAAGGCACCCTCTTCCGTGAAGCTAGCTGAGACTTCCAAGGCTTCTGCAGAACTTTGCTTTCTCACATGAGGTCTCCCCCCTTGTTGGAATCATCCCAAGATGGAGCCTCTCTCACAGCCCTGAGATGTTCTCAGGGGGTAAACCCAAAAGGCCCAGAACGTTGGAAGAATGTGCCGTGTTGGTCAGATGAGTCTTGTCCATGCTCTTGACTAGATACTATTTGTAGGTGGTCAGACTCACAAGGGATTGGGGGAAAACTTCATGGAAACTGAGCTCCTCTTGGTTGCAGGCCTAAGAGTAAAGTTAATCACAAGAGCAAGCCAAAGCATGCCAAAGCATCTCATCAAAGCATGAGATGAAAAAGTTAAGGAGACCCAAGCCAGAAAGAAGATAAAATAACAACAGCAATAACAACAATAATAAAAGACTCATTTGTTCTCCCAGTCTCTGAGTTCTGGTGGATGCCTAGCATAGCCAGGGTGGGAGGGAGTTTAAAGTATTCAAGATACCGCAGTGAGGACACAGACCAGGTTTCTACTTACACATCCAGGGGAAAGATAAGGAACACAGCAAAGGAACAACCACTGGAGTGACAGGTTCCAGCAAATTCATGGGTGAAAGTTAAGCTTAACAGGGCAGAAAAGTGGGAGAAGAAGCCTTTCTGAACAAAGGCCCTTGAGTTCAGTGATTGCCTTGAGGAATATTGGAGAAAGCTTTGGGAAGGAACAATGGCCCTGAGGCAGGCATGGTGTGTTAAGAGAAAAGGAGAGGAGAGGTAAGAGCAGCACTGGGGGAGGAGGAAGGAGATAAAAACAGTCTTGCACTGGTGAAATGGTCTCTTTCTCAGAATTAAAGTCTTGCGATGGATGACCTCTGACGCCACAGGCCGGTCCTGTCACAGAGTCCCTACAGCAGCCAAACGCAACCTCCACTTCTCAGAAGTACTTACGTAAAGTCGCTCCGCACAGCCTATGCAAGCAATCCGGATTCTCACCTGAGGCTAATCTGCGTGGGACTTACAGTGAACCTTGAAGAGGCTTTTGTTGTTGTTGTTGTTGTGGTTGTTAAACAGGGTCTCCTTAGGTAGCTTTACCTGGTCTGGAACTCACTGTGAAGAGCTGGGTGGCTTCAACCTCA